GGTGTAAATCAGCCACCTCCCATGCCCCTGTGCCCTGCTCACAACAGACCACCCACATCAGAGCCCTCACCATGCTGTTCCCTCTGCCCAGACCACCACCCCTTCTCCTGCTTGGGGCCCAGCCCATGATCACCTCCTCTAGCAGACCTACTCCAGCCTGGCTCATCTTCTCATCCCTGCACCTCCTCACTCGGGACCCGCACACAGGAGAACAGGAGGCAGGGAGCCCACCCTGTCGTTTCTGGCTTTTTCCTCATCTCCTCATGACTTTCACTTTATCCCATTGCTGCCTCCACAGGTGCAGATGAGCACGTGTTCCAGGACTGTGAAGACATCTGCAGGTCTGGAGTCAATCAGGATGGCGTCTACACCATCCGCATACCCAACCTGAACAAGACCAAGAGGGTGAGGAGGACCCTAGCAAGTAGAGACCGTGGGTATCGGTGGGTGGTGAGCCAAGGATTTTCCAGACACACCCTCACTGGCATCGAGATTTTTCTGGTATCTCAGATGCCAGAGAAGTAAGGGCGCCTTCCAGAGCCCCCATCCAGGCAGAGGTCAGAACTTGAAGCATTGCAGAAGGCCCCCAGGTAGAAGTGCAGAGTAATTAAACCCTGAAATTCCCAGTTCTCACCACATGGGGTTTATGTGCAGTTGAAGGCAGGAATTGAGGCCATAGTCCATGCAGGACGTTAATGACTGTGGCCCTTGGAGACACCGCCATCTTCAGGGAGCGGTTCCTAAAGGGGCTGAGCTTACAGGTCCAGTAAGCTCAGGAGTTGGAGGAGAGGTGGGTGACAGGGCTTGAGGCAGCAAGGGAAAGGAAGCAGCTGCCCAGCAGTCCTGCTCCACAATTCCCTCTGCACTTTCCTTTCCTCCTTCTGAGTGTGTCAAGGAGAGGCTCCATTTGTCTCCAGAGTGTCTTTCACATTTCTCTCACATCTGCTAAATGGCCCTTTTAACAGAGAGATCAGTGGAGGGCCCTGGGTTGGCAAAACTTTCTCACTAGAATTTCATATTTTGCTTTCACTGTATTTATTTTCATAATCATGTAATTAAAGGTGTTACTGCTTTTCCATTTATGGTACTGATAAGACTTCTTGTAAAATACCTTTCAATGACCTTAATTATATGGAAAGACACCAGTTTTGCTTTGTTTTGTTTTGTTTTGTTTTGTTTTGTTTTGTTTTATTTTGTTTTTGTGAGACAGTGTCTCACTTTGTAGCCCAGGTTGGCTTCAAACCCATGGCGACCCTCCTGCGTCAGCCTCCCAAGTGCTGGGATTATAGATATGTGCCACCACATCTGGCTCAGGACACCATTTTTTAAAGTAAATGTGTTTTGTAAAAATTAAGGAAATGGAGCTATGGTGGAATTCGGGAAGGTATAAATAGCTGAGATTTGGGAGACACAAGAGCTGGCCGGAAGGAAAGAGATATGGGCTCAGCCCTTAGCTTTACTTTGAAACAAGCTCTTCCCCTCTTGCTGCACACCCCTGCACACCCTGCTGCCCACACTACAGGTGTCCTGCTTCCTTCCCTTAGCTGACTTTCCCTTCCTCAGAGGCCCTACTTCTCCTGTTTCCCTCTCCCAGTAAAATGCTATTCCATTCCTCTGTTTCTGGCAGACATGCCATCATTCCAAGCCATGTTGAGGAGCCACTCCATCCACGAAGATTTTTTTGTACTCCTCCTTGCATCCACCCAAACGTTCACAATCAGTTGTCTTCCTGCCGTATCATAGCTTCCTCCAGACCAAGCCATCCTGAAGCCTGACTTGTCTCTGATTCATCAGTAATTCCTCCAGGCACCAAGTCTGCGTTCACTGAATATTGAACATGAACTGACTGGATGGGAAAATCGTGTGTGAACAGAAGTTAGGTTGAAAACTGTAGTTGTGTTAGATGCTAAGCTCTTTTAGAGAAAGGATCCTTTTTGTCTCACCCATGTGAGCATCCTCAGAGCTTTGAACAGAGCCACACACATAGTAGGTGCTCAGCAAACTGCTGCACCCTGACAGATAGCACTAACAGCATTTCCTGCTTCTACACGGTGGCTAAGCCCTTTATCCCCATCCACATTTAATCCTTCCAGCAACCCTGCAATAGTAAGGAGTGGGAAGCCTCCATTCATGTCTCTCCCAGTGTGTGCAGGGCTCCCTTCTAAACAGTCACATGACCCATCTCATTTAACTGTCACAGTAATGAGGAGAAACTGTGGCACAAAGAGGTTAGATGTGAACACCTCCATTTTACAAGTGAGGAGAAGGCAGCTGTGGGAGATATCACCGGCTGCCACTTTAGGAAATGATGATGATGGATGGGGCGTGGGGGCCTGGATCTTTCTCATGACCTTGACCAGTGTTTGTTCTGAGGGAGAGGGGGCCCATCAGCCAAGTCACCTTGTGCTGCCCTGGCCCTGACTCCTGGCTGTGTCCAGGAGATTCCAGCTGCTCTCCCTTTTGCCAGGTGTTCTGTGTGATGGACACCGATGGAGGAGCCTGGACTGTTATCCAGCGCCGTGAGAATGGCACAGTGAATTTCCAGCGGAACTGGCAGGACTACAAGCAGGTGACACTGCTGGCCTGGGGTGGGGCTTTGTACCCCTAAAGCCTGGTGCTGCTGCTGGGGTGTTGGCAGGGGGAGGGGAGCTGGTTCACTGTCACCCCTTCCCAGAAAAAGAAATCAACACACCTAAGCCACCTACCCTCAAACAGATCTGCCCAGTGTCCACGCTCTTCCCAGGACTCCTCACCGTAAATATGAACCTCTTTTTGTAATTTGTGACATACATCCTAGGAATGAAATTTTAACTTTTGTTTTGCTTTTTAGAAAGCATACATTGCTAAGGTTTTTTTAAAAGAAAAAAAGAATACTAAGGAGGTAACCAAAAAAGAAATGTCACCCACACCCCTAGCTACATTCTTTAAACAAATTTATTTCTCCTTTTAAACATCTGTAACCACATTTGCAGGACAAATTCTATAATTTAAAATCGATTGTTCAAAGAACCCATGCCTCTTTCAAGATGAGCTATACTACATGATTGCCTTCCAATGTTTGTTTGTTTGTTTGTGGCAGGGTCTCACTATGTAGTGGACGCTGGCCTTAAACTCACTAAGTAACCCAGGCTGGCCTTGAACTTGCAGTGATCATCCTGCCTCAGCCTCCCAAGTGCTGGCACTACCAGCATATGCCACCATACTCAGGGGCCTTCTAATTTTTTTAAATTAAATGTTGAGTACAGGATTTTTTCACAAGATGGTTTAAGTGGTCTTAATCTTTTCAAAAGTAAAAGAAGTAGAAAAGATAACCACAAGGACATAGAGTAATACTATTAATTCTGTCTACTTGCTATTCCATTTGATAAATACCTATATCAAATTAAGTGATGGACGTTTTTGAACCAAACAAGTTTTTAAAAATCATTAAAAATGTAAAGAGAAATAGGTAGTTCAGACGTAGAAATACACAAAGGAAAGCTGTATGTCCACACTTAGGATTGGCACCTTATTCTGTAAACGGGGAGCACCCCTGTCACTGGTGCTGAATCAGTGCTCTGCCCAGAGCTTTGGTTTCTTGTTCCTGACGCTGGTGAAAAGACCCTCCCGGTACTCTTAGCTTTTCACACATTTTTATATTGCTGAAATTTTCAATGCCAGCCCTGTCCTTGAACAAAGTCTATTCTATCATTTATGTAACTGATTAAAATCTTTATTATTTTTTTACTAGGGTTAACAAACATGCAGCTAAGTGCACAAACACTAAGTGCAAGCCTCAGCGAATTTCACATACGAGTTCAGCCTGGGACCCTCTGAAAACTAGACATACAAACCTTCCGCACCGTACAACCCCGCTTGTCTCCTCCCACTCAACAGCCCCCTAAATATTTTTATATTCTCTTTTCTATCGCCACAGTTTAGTTTTGCCTGTTTCTAAACTTTGGAGAAATGTGATTACTTTAAATGTGCTTTTACATTTACAAATGTGTTCGTCTTTTTCCTGGGAGGTGGGGGTCTCCCACATCCAGACAGTGACCCAGTGGTTTGGGGTATGCGGCCTCAGAGCCTGGCCCAGGCCCCTTGCTCAACAAGGGACATACCTTCCCCCAGGCACTCAGCCCGCCCTGTCCTCTACCCACCCCATAGGGCTTCGGCCACCCGGCTGGGGAGCACTGGCTGGGCAACGAGGCGGTGCACCAGCTCACCAGCAGCGCAAAGTACTCTCTGCGCTTGGAGATGGAAGACTGGGACGGCAACACGAGCCAAGCCAACTTCAAGCATTTCCAGCTGGGCAGCAAGGAGGAGTTTTACAAGTGGGTTGGGGCCCTGGTGGTGGGTGGGCTGGGGTCCCTGGTGGATAGGCTGGGTTCCCAGGCTAGAGCCTCCAGAGTCTGCACCAAAGGTCAATCCCAGGGCATCTCCACTTGTTACCATCTGTCCCCTATTTGGGCCCACGTCACGAGATCTGGAGGTGACTGGTTAGCACTCAGCACATCTTGACCACGGGATGGGGTGGAGAGGATGTCGCTGATGCCACCATCCCAGAGCAGGAAGGGGCCATCCCAGGGCAGTCACCCCTGGTCAGTCACTTCCAGAGACCCAGAAAGGAGAAGTGACATGTGCAGTCTGTGCTGTGCCCTGGGGTGAGATGGAAGTGTCCCTGGGCTGGGAGACAGGAGGCCAGGACCCTTTCTGACACTGCGGCAGTTCTCACTGGATAAATCAAGGTCAAGTTGCTCTGAAGCTCTGTGCTTCCAAAGTAGAATGGGCTTGGATATGAGGATGCTGCAAAATCTTCATATTTCCCTGCTCCTTCCACAGTCTGGTGTTTGGTGTGTTTAGGGAAAGAAATGAGCATTTTCTGAGCACCCAGTGTGTTCCAGACTCTCTGAGGTGGGCCTTACTGCACCTACTTTAGTAAAATGATTCTCAGGCACTGAACTTAAGTCATCTGGCTAAAGTGACACATTAGGTAGGACTTGAACTCATTCCACACCATACTGTTGAATCTCTGAGAAACTCTCTGATTCTGATATGTTTCTGTTCCCTTGGGTTGCATCAGAGGCATCTCCCAGGCCCTGCCCTGGGGACCAGCGCTTCCTTGAGCTGCCCTGGCCACATCTATAGTCCATTCACCTCCACTCCATGGGACCTCAACTTCTCCCAACCATCTCCCACTCCTGTGCCAGGCTGAGCCCCTCCTGCCAGGCTTGGCCACACCCCGGGGGTCAAGCAACAGTGAGCACTAAGTGTGCCCAGAGCCACGGCCTGCACACTCGGCATGCTGGGGCCACCAAGCCACACAATGAGTAAGGTCGCTGTCAGTATTTCTGTGTTTGCCACGTGCACAGATGCAGAGACTGAGGCTCGGGGAGGTGAGGCGGTCTTCCCAAGGCCATGCAGCCTCTGAGTGGCAGAGCTGGGGTTTGAAGCCCAGCTGATGGCCGGCAGCACTGGGCAGCCTTGGCTGTGCCTGCCAGCACCCCAGACTCTGGTCAAAGAATATAACTCCCCCTCCCTGGCTGCCTGCTGATGTGCATGTCACAGGGTTGGGGTTCCCCAGGTGTAGATCAGTGTGGGCTGCTGTGGTCAGGGAGGGCTTCCGAGAGGAGGAAAGAGGACATGAGTAGGTGTCACAGGGCCAGGGTGCAGGATACTGAGTGGGTGAGGAAACCCATGAGGGTCCCCAATCAGGCCACATTGGGCAGGAATCTCCCTCTGACCCTCTGTGGTCCAGAGTCCTTGGGCAGGTTCTTGTGCTCTTGAGATCCCCTCTCTTCATATGGAAAGGGTGTTGTGAGGCTGAGATAAGATGGAGGCAACCCCTGCAAAGGGCTTTGGGCAATGCCTGCATCCTGGTAGAGGTGCCAGAACTGTCAGCCGCTGTCCTCATTCTGGTCATTGTGACTCCTCCACCAGACCCAATCAATGAGATGAAGAGAGGCAGCACACATCTCATGGTGCTTTGTCCATGAGGAGTAGCAGGAGGAGGAGGATCTGGAGGAAAATGGCCAGGCTGAGGTCTTTCTCCAAGTACAACAGCAGGGAAACCCTATCTGGGACAGTGTCCCCAGTGGAGGCCCCTCCTCAACATGGCCACAACCTGACTGTACTTCTCTCCCATCACCACCTCTGGGTGTCCATCAGGATTTTTGTGAATGGGTACAGTGGTGAAATGCCACAGCTGGGTAACGTGATCCTGTGGAACAACACCTTTAGCACCCATGATGCAGACCATGACAACTGCGGCTGCAATTGTGCACAGATTATGTCTGGAGGTGAGTTAGGGTCAGAGGTAAGTTCCCCATCAGGGTCCTAAGGTCCCCTTCAGGGCATCCCTCCTCCTAACCCAGAGGTCAAGGCACGGCCAGGGGACAGCTCCCCACCAACTCCGGGGCTGGGGCAGAGGTCAGAGAGAGGGATTTGGGATGAGTCAGAGACAGAGCAGGAAGGACAGAGAAGGAGAGACCTGAGCCACAGAGACAGGGACAGATGGGGCAGAGAGAGACAGAGGCTGAGAGAAATGAGAGCAGTGGAGACAGAGCTGCACTGGGCAGGGAAGGCAGAGAGAGAGCTGGAGAGGAAGTGCAGCCCTGGGCACGGCCAGGAGAGGACTCTTCATGGAGACAGAGACATAGAAGAGACCAAGACCAGAGACAGACAGCCAGCAGGGAAGGATGTCCTCGGCCAGAGAGGCACACAGCATTATACACACACACAAAGACCATCAAGAGGAAAAGACTCACAGAGACAGACAGAGGCCACCAGATATACACAGGAAGTGACCCAGAGCTCTGAGGAAGCAGAAAAGATCAGAGGTCACTGAGGAAGGGACACAGGACACAGAGGAGTCAGGAGAAGGAAGGGAGGTGCAGAGGGGTCTGGTGAGGTGGCCAGAGCCCTCTGCTGCCCTTTAGAGGCCCTGCCTGAGCAGAAGGTCTGTTGTCCCCCCATCCTCCTCCCCAGCCAGCCAGTTCCCCAAGGCAGCAGCAGCCCTGATTAGTCCTTGTGCCCCTTTCACAGGGTGGTGGTTTGATTCCTGTGGTGGCTCCAACCTCAATGGCATCTACTACCCAGCTGGCCAGCACTTGCACAAGATCAACGGCATCCGCTGGAACTTCTTCCGCGGCACCACGTACTCGCTTCGCGCCACCCGCATGATGATGCGGCCCCTGCACAGCTAGCCAGTGCTGCGCAGAAGCTGGGCTGTGCAGGAGCTGGACTTTGACATCCCAGCATCCCAGATTCAGCACAGAACACAGTGCCTGAGGCTCATCCTGACACCCTGGGACATCTGAGCCAGCCTTCCCTGCCCCAAGTCTAGAAGAGTCACCTGCCTCCCTGCTCCCCTGGACATGTGATATCATGGGGATGGTGTCCCTTTCTCCATACTACATACCCCTCATTCTTGTTCCCTCCTACCTCCTCCAGGGACTCCCTCCACCTTGAGGTCACCGTGCCTGAATAGCTGCTGACTAAACTTGGCTCCCAGAAGGAATCTCTGGTGTGACTGCAGGTCTTGGGAGAGGAGGGTGTGCACACAGGAAGCTGCCCTAAGCAGGCCAGACTCCATGACTTGTAGGGGGGACAACACCCTATACTTCCCAGCCTTGAAACCCTCTTGCTTTTTCCATGCTGGAGGGGCTGCACTACCCCCTCGTGGTAACCATTCTCTCCTCTCCACCCCACTGCTCCTAGGCTCCAAAGCCTGGCGTCAGACCTGGTTCCTCCAGTGCTGCAGAAGCTAAGAGGGATTCATTTACCCCCAGCATACCCTAGCATGGGCTCCATTAGTGATAAGCAGAGCTCCTCTTTAAAATGCATATGAGATAACAGGTTAAATCAAAGGGAACAGGCAATCTTAACTGCAGGGTTTGTCAGAGCCTGAATGAGGCCACATACTTTGGGACTGTCCGCAAAAACACACCAGACTGGGTAGCTTTCTCCAAATCTATTTATTTGCAAGTGGACCCTTTTTGTCCCACCTGAGGGATGTGGAGGCCCTTGAGAAAATCTGGTCCTTAACTGTTAAAAAAGAAGAGCTTCAGACCCCACCTCCAGCCATACTCACCAGTTTGGCCACAAGGAGCACAGCAATGCAGCAGACAGCCTCTGAAACAACTAAAAAGGACTTGGGTCAAAAGAGACCTGAGGAAGCCCTAGGACCAAGTCCCTGTCTGTCTATGCACTGATACCTTCCAGGGCCCCTCTGGCCCCAGGAGCCACATCTCTGCCCACGTGGCAGCTACCAGGGCTCCTTGAAACGCCAGTCAACCAAGGCTCACGTCCAGGGACGGCTGGGTAGGACACCAACACCTGGTCCAGATACCCTTGTCCACAAGCTGGAGCCCTTGGCCTCTCCCTGAGTCAGCCCACTGTGCTGCTGTACTGGGTCTGCAGGGGGAAGCGGGCCTTTGTCGGGGGCTCTTCATGAGTTTCTCAGAGGCTGGGATCAGAGAGGAGTCCCAGCCAAGCGGCCACCATCTTGTCACTGTGTCCTTCCTCAGCCCTGATGAGGCCCCATAGCCGTTACAGGCCAACACGCAGGCCTGACAAGGCGCCTCCTGCCCTAGAGCCAGGAGGCCCTTGTCCTTAGCGGCGTGACTGCCCCAGACCCTGAGTCCCCTCTCACGTTGAGCAGACACAGCACAGACCTGCCTTGAGCCTTTCAAGGGAAGCAACACTTGTCCAGGCTTAGTGACATGGCTGCTACTGGTGACCCCTTAGGGAGGACGGGGAACATATCAAGGTGACCTTTCAGGCTTTCTGTTGCCCTGAAAGCTCAAGTTGCCTTACACAGCATTTGTGCAGAAGACCATTCTTTAGCACCTTCTGTGTGCAGCATGGCAACATAGGCAGGGCTTTGGAGCCAGAACTTAGGCCCATGGCTCAGCCTCAAGGCCTCGGGTGTCTGTAAAGTAGAGGTTGTGTTGCTCTGTCCTTGCTAGGTTACGGCAAGGAGAATGAGATCGTGTATGTAAACCTCTCAACAGAGTCTGGTACAAAGCAAGTGCCTAATAAATGTTGGCTCTAAAGAAGGCGAATGAGGGGAGAAAGGCATCCATAGCTTTTATTTGTATACGGCAGAGCTTCCAGGCTGGCTGTGTGCTGAGAGGAGACGGGCAAAGCTAGGAGCCCCGGGGCAAAGGCCCAAACCCCTGGCTGCACTACAGTTTCTAAAAAGGCTGGGAAGTTGTCTTAAGTTACCTCATACACCTGCTCTTAGATATTCATTCCACCCTCTTACCTTCCTCCCCTTCCATCAGGGCTCTCCAAGTAAAATTCTATCCGAAGGAATGGATTAGTTCACGTAACTGAAAAGCGTAGGGGAGGACTCAGGCATGGTTAGCTGTAGGCACTCAAATGATGTCCCTCTTCTCCTCCTGGCCTTGCCACCTCCTGTGTTATTTCATTCTAATGAGATGGTTCCAGCAGCTCAGGTTCATGTCCTCCCACTCAATATCCCCAGCCAGGGAGCTCTGCTGGCCTGGATGTTCCAGTAGCAGCGTCTCTCTCCAGTCAAAACGGGTGCAGTGTCCAGCACAAGATTCATCACTGTGGTTCTGACTGGCCATAGCTGGGTCACATGATCGCATCAGTGTCAGCCATACCCAAGGCCAGCCTGTCTGTCTGCAGGAAGCAGAAGCCGAAGCTGGCTGGCAGGAGAATGTTCACTCTCCTCCTCCTCCTCCCTGCCTCCCATCCCCTTTGTTCTTCTTTCCTTCTCTGCCTTTCTCCCCAGGGGCTTCCTGCCCCAAATCCAGACCCCTAGTGCCAGTTCATCCCCAGGTCACCTCAGAGCTATGACAAGGCCAGTTCACAATCCTGCCTCGGCCCCTCAAGTAGGACTTCTCTGAACCTGACTTTCCCATCTGTACAATAAAGATATGACTTCCAGCAGCCCTTCTGACAGATGCTGCTCATGACAGCCACTGACAAAGCCAGTCAGAAGACCCTGGGCAGAACAAGGCTTTATGGGGTAAGTTCAGGGTAGCTGTGGGCCCAGCTGTGTTTCCTGGGCACCACAGCTCACAGGAACTGGCTCTAGGATACTTGCATCTACATATACATTTCTACAAAATCCCTGTCATGTCTCTCCATTTTGTCAGTGAAGATATCAGGGCTCAGAGAGGGAAAGAGTTTCATCAAAGGCAGCTCAACCACGCACCACCTCCAGAACAGTTGCATATGAGCTGCCTCCTTCTAGAGCTCTCTGGAAGCATCTCCGTACTGACCACAGTAATGTTGAGGTAGTGTCCCCTCTGCTTGTATCAAGGGCTTAAGGGACATTCTGGAAAAGCCTCCAAGATCACTCTGTCTTTCACATTGGTGTCTGCTAGATCCCGATGGAGCCAGCCAAGAAGAATACATTGTTCCTGAGATCTCTGCCTGTCCCGGCGAAGCCATTTCCACACTGGGAAGAGATCAGTGCACACACCTCCGAGACAACAGCCACAGGCCAGGTGAAAGGCGGCCCTTTGAGGGGGTAGGGAACAGCCACCACTGAGATGGTTGTCTCTGTGCCTGCCAGACTTGACTGCTCCTTCCGGGTTCTCCTTCCTTTTGGTATCTGTGTTGATTTCACCTCACCCATTTTCAGTGGCAAAGCTAGCAGTGTTGCCTTGGCAACAGCAGCATGGGCACCTTTTGACAGAGCATCCCTTCAGACTCACAGGATCTGATTCACAGGGCCTGGTCCACACATTCTTTCACATATTTCCTCATTCCTTCATGTGTTCATTCATCTACATCACAATTATGTCTTGAGGATGTGCCTGGGTCCAGGTCTGGCTGGGTGACCAGGTGGAGGAGTGAACAAGATAGATGTCCACATCCCTGCACTCACAGAGCGAACCAGGCTTAAGGAGAAATGGAAAAAGGCAAATTAAAATTCACTAATAAAACCAAGGGAACATGTTAATTATCGTATTGCAAATGAAGGTAAAAGAGAATTACAGAAAGTCCAACTCAGAGTGATCAAGGAAGAACCTCTGAGGAGGCAGAGCTCAAACTGAGGACTAAACAGGTATTAAAGAGGAAGCCAGGTGAAGAGCTGCAGGAATAGCAGGCTCGCTAGAGGGGACAGCAAGCACAAAGGTGCTCTGGTGGCCATGAGCTTGGCTAGCGTGAGGAACCAGGTATGGCTGGAGCAGATGAGCAAGGAGGAGAGCGGTGGGAGCAGGTGCCTCCCAAGCACCTGTGTCAGGACAGATCCCCACCCTGATGCCGTCTGACAACTGGATGCAGCCACCTCTCTCCCTGACTCACTGTGAATCTGGGACAAAACATGGCAGTCAACCAGGCAGCAGGGTGAGAATAAAGGACACCAACTATCTGCCTCCTCCACACAAACTACATAGGTCATCTCACTGGACCCGAGTAGGTTCTCTTATGGCCCATTCTACAGATGCATAAACTGAGGTTCAGGGAAGTGAAATGCCTTGCCTGAGGTCACGCACTGAGTCATGTGCCTGTTTCAGTGCTCTGCTGTAGTTTTCAAAGTCTTGTGGCTTTATCTTTAAGCTTGAGTTTTGCATGCTGGAGCTTGTCCCTCTGCAGGGGGGCATGTGTGCTGCCTCCTGGGCACACCTTAGGGCCCCTGTTAGGAGGCCTGGAGTCTCCAAACTTCCTGTCCCACAACATGAGTGTGGAGCCTAGAGCTAGTCAATTCCCTCTCGGAACCTTGGTTCCCACTCCCCAGGCACCATGACACTGATTTTACTCAAATTTTGAACATTGGGGAAGATCTAGTCTACGTGGGAGGAAAGACCTCTATCAAGGAACTGCTTCACAGGTGAGACCACTGTCATTCTCAGTGTGGCCTGTCATTTTCTGTTTCTTGATCCTTTGTCTTTGCTGAAACTTGGTTATCAGACAAGTAGGAGATCCTGAAGGATTTAGGGCAAATTTTTAACTGACAGAAACAAACCCATGTGTTTGCTTTTCTTTTTTTTTCCTAATTGTTTGAGGGAGTAACCCCCGGGTTCCACAGGAATCTAGATTGAGAACAATTAGCCCAACAGCATAGCAAACAAAGCCGGCATCTGTGCAACAGGGTCTGATGACTGTGACTCCCTGGCTCAAATGGTACAGAGCACGTGAGCCTCTAGGCAGGCTGGGAAGAACATGGATAGCAATGTAGGTTCAGACAGGAAGAGGCAAGGCACCGGGCAGCTCTTGGGGTGGTAGGAATGCTTGTCACTTGACCTGAGGGAGACACACGTGTTCGGTTTGTGAGAATTCAACCAGCTGCACTTTTATTTATACACTTGTCTCTAGATAGGATTTTCTGTATAAACATAGGTAGTGGAGAAGGGAATTATACAAATTTACTGGAAACAAAGAGAAAGCTGCCTGAGGAAAAATAAGAGTTTGGAGAAGCAGTTAGCAACAGGTAAAATTACACAAGC